GATCGGAGCAGTTTCCGGAGCTGTGTGTGCATCGACACTGGCGAGGAATGGTGTCTCAGTCACGATCTTCGATTCGGGTCGTGGACCAGGTGGTCGTATGTCTCAAAGAAGGTTCATTTTTTCCTCCAAAGTTTGAATCTTTTGATCTATAGAGACTATATAATGTTTAGTTTTAAGCAGAGGATTGTGCCTGAAAAGTGTTTCCTTTTTGAATCAGAGAGATTGGTGAAGATGGGAAGGAGTTGATGTTCGATCATGGAGCTCCTTTTTTCAGTGTGAGTAACTCTGATGCAATGGCCCTTGTTCACGATTGGGAGTCCAGAGGTATTGTTTCTGAATGGAAACAAGTTTTTGGGAGTTTCGATTTTGCTTCCAACAAGTTTCTTGGCATCCAACAGGTGTTTTTTTTCCATCAAAATTGATCCCAAGTAGCCAATACTTTGCATTTTGTCAATGATTCATCTTAAAGTTTGAGGTTTTTTCTGATTTTGTCTAGGAAGGGGATGCAAAGAAGTATGTGGGTGTTCCGGGGATGAACTCTATATCTAAGGCCTTGTGTCACGAGTCTGGTACTTTCTTCTCTAGTCAAAAGATCCAACTCAAAACTCTGTAACATCAGTCTTTGTATCAACTCTGTGATGTTCGTCGTAGGTGTTAAAAGTATCTTTGGAACTGGTATTGCCAAGCTTGAATGGTTGGAGGAAGAGGTACCATGGCTGTTGAAAGATTCACAAGGAGAAAACGTGGGTCGTTTCGATGGAGTGGTTGCGTCCGATAAAAACATTGTTTCTCCAAGGTTTACTCAAGTAACTGGACGCCCACCACCTCTGGGTAAGACTTCCATGACCTCCTACAGTTACCGTTTCAGTGTTATGTTACATTTATCTCTATTCACTTTTATTTGCTTTTCTAGCACAGACTTAAAGCTAGTCCCGGAGTTGGCCACTAAACTGCAACATATTCCTGTTTTACCATGCTTCTCTCTTATGCTAGCTTTCAAGGAGCCATTATCTTCGGTAAGATATTTCCTTGTCCAGTGAGTAATTAGTGTTGGTAGATCAATTGTTTATATGCAGAAACAATGCATATGCTAATTACCCTCGTTTGCATATTCTCTGTCTCTTGAATCAGATACCGGTAAAAGGCTTATCTTTCAAGAATTCAGAGATTTTGAGCTGGGCTCACTGTGATAGTACTAAGCCAGGGCGGTCTACTGATAGGTAAATCACTTCACTAACCAAAAAAGTGTAAAATTACAGTATTTGAGCAGTTGCTACCAAATGTATGCAGTAAGATTGCTTCAGTGTTCTAAATTCTTAGAGGTTTTATCTTGATTGTTTAGTGAAAGATGGATACTGCATTCTACTCCAGACTACGCCAACAGTGTTATTGCCAAGACCGGCCTCCAAAAGCTATCGAATGAAACACTAAACCAAATATCTGAAGAGATGTTCAAAGAGTTTCAGTGCTCAGGCCTTGTTAGTTCTCTCCCCTTTTTCATGAAAGCCCACAGATGGTAAGCATCCTGATTCCTGACTGTTACTTAGTCCTTCTGTAATCTCTTGTCAGCTTAACGTTTTGTTGTTTGTAGGGGAAGTGCGTTTCCAGCTAAAAGCGTAGCCGTAGAAGAGAGGTGCCTCTGGGATAGAAGCAGGAATCTAGCAATCTGTGGAGATTTCTGTGTCAGTCCAAACGTCGAAGGTGCCATACTCAGTGGCTTAGCTGCAGCGTCAAAGCTTTTGCAGACTTCCAGCTGCTTATAGGTACCCTATTGAGTGTATCCCAATACCTCAAAACAGAGTTATATATACTGTCTTGTATAAAGATTCTAATAGAATCATGTAAGATGACAATGACAGTCTTCCTCGTGAACTCTATCCGCCGATGAAACAGAGACAGATCGGAATATCATGTGATCTTCGTAAATTTCTACTTTGTTTCTTGAGAAATGACAGCAAGCGCAGTTCTATCTGTGTAAGTGCCATTCGCAGTACTAATGAATCAATGGTTTTAATTGGCAATGCCTATGAAAGTAAGCAACATATATTAACTTGACAGTTTCTGCTATTTTGATGTACAAACCGAACAATGACTCTGCATTGATGAAATTATGTGCATTGGTAGACTCAAAAGATTCGAGATACATTCATACCGAGGAAACTTGTTATTTCTTAGGTTTTTTTGTTCTGAAAGTTGATTCTGATCATTCAATTTCTGTTGCAGGGACTACTGCCTTGGCTATGCAATCAATTATCCAATCATGTTCACAGGTAATGATGTTTCATATTGTATTTTTGATGAATTGTTCTAGAGGATCCTAAAAACCAGATCTTTACATCGAAACAAATGGAACTAGGATGACAATCATATGTATAACGTCTTAAGTGGTATTTTACATGAATCTACTGGGTACAAGAGTGAGTAAATATTTGTACAATCAGACAGGCACACCTTATTCCCGCATGAAGAATTGTTCTAATCATGAATATGAATACAGCAATAATATCTCTCGTTACACTCAGAGCATCAGCAATTCCAAGCAGTGCTTGGAATACCAATGTCGGTCACGAGGCTCTCCGAGCTGCCTTCACCAGAACTCTGTGATTCTTTAACCCCTAGGCTGCTTCCATCGATCTTACTGAGCTGACTGAGCAGAGCTCTGAGAACCATCTGATCTGAAGAAAAGAACGAGTCGATCCCTGGGAGCGTGGCCGGGGCTGAACCACCAGTAAACAAGGGGTTAGAGTTCTTGCAAGGAGTCTTGAGTTCAGAGAGTGAATTGGTCAGGTTTGCGTTTAAGGATTGGTTCTGTGACAAATTGGAGAAGCAGGGCACTTGCTCATTGATGATGTATTGATGATCATCAGTGAAGTAAGAAGAGAGTTCTTGGTCAAAGTTGATGTGAGAATCCATCAATGGTGGAAGAGACGCAGAGGCTGTCTCATCAAAACAGATTCCCATGTTGTCTCTACATGAAACTCCTTCTGTAGTATTCTTATGAAACACTCTGCACAAGACCCAGTCTTCCTGTTCTTTCCAACAACACATAGAAACATATAGTTTTACTCGTTATAGATTTGCTTAGAAGACATTGTGATGATCAATAACTGGAATTAGCTGTGTACCTTTGGAGGATTCAGGGATTGATTGGGAGGATCAAAGGATCCTTGGAGACGGAATTCGTGCATGACCCAATTGGTTTTTCGACCTCGAGGAGCTCGACCTTGATAGAACACCAATGTCTTCCTCATTCCAACAAGCTTACCCTTTCTTTGAATAGCTCTGTCTTTCCCAGTGGCTTTCCAATATCCGGTGGCCGTTGCTCGGTTTGTTCTCAGCCCCGTCGCGTATTTCCGATCTCTTTGGCTGTAGAAATACCAATCCTTCCCTCCCACACATGCCATTTCTGATCATTTCAAACATACAAAAAACATTCTTAGTTCAATGGTACATTATTACAGGGTAATGTTGTATTTTTGTTTTACAAACATTTTAAAAGAAATGCGTTTGTTAACATAGAAAAAAGGTTACAGGATAATATTAAAGGTTAATTTAAAAGATATAATGACAGTATATGAAAATCTTATAAGAAAAGGTATATTTTCTCTCTTTGATACTAGAATATATTCCATATATTCAATAATAACGGCTATATAGTATTTACGAATAATAATACTATACAGCATACACATCCGTGCGGAATTAAATTAAGCATGTCAACATGTAACTCTTTAACGATATAATAAGCTTCCAATAGGAGTTCAACGCGTGTGCATGAGGTGGATGCATGAATGTATTTTTTTTTCTTCTTTTGTAAATGTCGTTTTTGTTTGAAAAAAAGAAAAATATCTTCAGCAAATGAATGACGACTAAACATTCAATAATTATAATGCAGTTGAAGGGTCAATATCTTGATTTGAAAATAATAATAATCAAGGACCCATTAGAGGCGTAAGCAAAGGAGAAGAAGAACTACTAATTATGATCAAACAGAACGAATTTTAATTTTTTTAAACGAACAAAAAAATGTCACACTCAAAGGATATAAACCAACAAAATCTAGAAATTGACTTGTTCGTAGCTATTATCTTACTTTATTTTATCCAAAGTTGTGTCAAGAATTTTGGTTGAGGATAACGCCAAGAGTATCAACTTCTCGTAAAAGTATTTTGTAAATATGTATCTCTAGAAATTTCGCAATTATTACGTA